TGGTGTTATCATTATTATATTTTTATCCTACACACACACACACACACACACACACACACACACACACACAATATAGTCAATCCAAGGTAGTGAACATACCTAATACTCCTGCCTCCGATTTTCCCCATAACAACTTTGTGAGATGGGTTGGGCTGAAAGAGACTGACTGGCCCAAAGTCACCCAGCTGGCTTTCATGCCTAAGGGAGGCCTAGAACTCACAGTCTCCTGGTTCCTAGGCCAGCATCTTAACACTACACCAAAGTGATGCTCCATACCATTGTTCTATTCATTCTAATTTATATACTGCTAATGTGCAATGTTAATACATTACTATCTGATTCAGTATAAGTAATAACATAAATGACCATATTCTCACCACTTAATCTTTTGTTTTTCCCCAGCAGTGTGTACTTCTACTATCTGTGCAAATAATCATGAGAAATAATACACACATTTAACATGTATGAAAAATAATTATAGATTTTATTAACTGGTATGAGCTATCTGCTATACAAAACACCAAAACATCAATTATTTTAAATACATTTCTTCCATATTACAACTAAATAATCAGTTCATTAGCAAACTTTTATCCTAGTTGGATTTTGTGTTTTATATGGATAATTAGTGGACAATTAATAATAGATTTTAGATAACATGCTTCTAAAAATTACACTGACTTATGGTGGTTTTATACTGATAATTAGTGGACAATTAATAATAGATTTTAGATAACATGCTTCTAAAAATTACACTGACTCATTTTGGAAAAGGAATTAATAATCCAGTTTTAACATGTTTAAACAATTTCTAACTGAAAACACACGATCTGATTGATTGATGATGTTGACAAGTCAGTATCAATCTTACCATACAGATCTTCTTGAGGATGATGTTCTCAATCTAGCTGTTAAGATCTTGTTAGAAATTGTTTAAACATGTTAAAACTGGATTATTAATTCCTTTTCCAAAGTGAGTCAGTGTAATTTTTAGAAGCATGTTATCTAAAATCTATTATTAATTGTCCACTAATTATCAGTATAAAACCACCATAATTGCCACCATAATTGAGTCCATCCACCTTGCTGCTGGTTATCCTCTTCTCTTTCCTTCCACCTTTCCTAGCATTACAGACTTCTCAAGAGAGCATAATGTGTCTAAAATAAGAACATTTGGGCCTGGTCATTTTTACCTTGAGTGAGAACTTGGGATTGATTTGTTCTATGATCCATTTGTTCTTTTCTTGGCTATCCATGGTAGTTTCAGGAGTCTTCTCCAAAGTCCAGGAGCATTAATCCTCTTTCTACCCTGTTTTTTCAAAATCCAATATTTGCTTTCATAGAATGTTACAAGGAAACTATTGTCTGATATTTGTAGACATAGATATAGCACAACATGTAAACATTTTTTCCAAGGTCTTTAGTGCAACTTTACTATGTGCTAGTCTGTGGCATATTTCTTGACTGCAGGTTCCTTTAGTGTTAATAGTCAGTCCTAAAAGGCAGAAGCTATCCACACTACAATATCTCCAATGTCAGTTCTAAGGATGGTTGCTTATCTGCTGTCTTTAATTTGGTCACTGTTTTCCTTGACTTTCATTACTAGAATTTCCAGATCATTTGCATTGTCAGCTATCAGAATAGTGTCAACATCATAATGCAGGTTATTGAAGTTTCTTCCTCCAGTTTTAAAACCACACTAATCTTCTTTCAATCTAGCCTCCCTAAATGCATATTCAGCATAACATGAATAAGGAATGAATTTAGTATGATAAACTGAAGAATAGCAGCTCTTCTATCCAAGTTGATGAGTCAACAGATTTCATGAATATAGTCTTGTCTCTCTCCTTTACTGACCTGGAGCCAATCTGTTTCCCCATGTTCTGTCTAGACCAGGGTTTCTCAACCAAGGTTCTATGGAACCCTAGGGTTCCATGAGAGGTCAATAGCGGTTCCCTGGGAGATCATGATTTATTTAAAAAAAAATCAAGCTCGGGCAACATGCTTTCACAGTGATGAGCAGAGACAGAACAAAAATCTAGTTACAACTCTTTCTGAGCTCTCTGGTAGTGCACTACAGAACTACATTTATTTGGTTGAATCTATTCTTAAATTTTGACATGAGATAGGGAAGACTGTTGATAACAGGTGAACACTATATTGCAGGAAGGGAGGAATATATTGAAGAAAGGGGAGGGAGAAGTGCATTTTTCAAGAAATTAATGGACTCATCCAACGTAGTCTATGATGTCAGTCTGCCCCCCCCCCCCCGCATCTTTTCTCTGAGGTCTTCCTGTAGTTATTTTATCCCATTGTTTTAAGTAAATTTCATACACATTTATTCAGTCATGTCTGTGGGTCCAATATGGTGATTTTTGAAGAGGAGGTGTGAGAAAGAAGAGGAGGATTCTATAATGGACAATACTGATAAGTTTAATGATGATAATGAAGAATTTAAATCTTCTCAGGCATTTCCCTGCACTGGCACATCAATGGACTCAAAAAAGTCCATCTTTACAATGAAAGCTATTTATCAATGGGTTTTACATGGACTGGTGATCCAAACTGTCCTATTATATTGTGCCTCATCTATGGCAAACAATTTACAAATGCAGCAATGGTTGCAGCAAAATTAAAAAGACACTTGACTACAAATCACAGCCATATGACAAGTAAAATTTCTGATTATTTTAAACAGCTATTGGAATCACAGAAGAAACAGAATAAAGCTTTTGTTAATAAAATGACAGTCAATAAAAAAGCCCAAGAAACAAGTTATTTAATAGCAGAACTTATCACACAGCAAAGTGAAAGTCACGCTTTGGGTGAGAAAGGAATCATGCCAGCATCTAAAATAATACTGGGAAAAATGCTAGGACCAGATGCAGTACAAGAAATTGAAAAGGTTCCACTGTCAAACAGTACAATAAATCAGCACATTGATGACATGCCACATGATGCAGAAGAGGTTCTGTATGATAAACTGAAGAATAGCAGCTCTTCTATCCAAGTTGAAGAGTCAACAGATTTCATCAATAAATGTCATGTTATGGCATTTGTAAAATTTGTAAATGATGGTGAAATTCAAGAAAACTTTTTTTGCTGCAAGAACTACATGAAACATGCAAAGGGCATGATGTATTTAATGTTTTGTCTTCATATCTGGAAACAAAAAGTCTGGCTTGGAGGAACTGTGATGGTATCTGTACTGATGGTGCTCCATCAATGGTTGCTCCATGAAAGTTTTCATTTCTCTTGTAAGAAAAGAAAATCCTGATGCTGTCACAAAACACTGCTTTGTTCACAGAGAGGTGCTGGTGTCAAAAACAATTGGAGATCAAATGAAAAAAGTTCTAGATGATGCTACAAAAATTGTTAACTTTATTAAACAAAGACCAGTTCACTCAAAACATTTTAAAAACTGTGTGAAAACCTGGACAAAGAGCACACAAGTCTCCTATTACACACAGAAAAACAGTGGGTCAGCAGAGGAAGAATTCTCAACAGGCTGAAGGCAGAATTGCAAGAGTATTTTTGGGAAAATAGTATTCCACATTTTGCTGAGTGCTTTGAAGATGGAAAATAGTTGCAGAAACTAGTATACTGAGTGGACATCTTTCATCATATGAACCAGCTGAACAAGTCTCTGCAAAGCACTGGAGAAAATGTTTTGACTTCAAGTGACAAGATTCTTGGATTTAAAAGAAAACTGAATGTTTGGAAAAATCATGTTGCAAAAGAAAATACTGAAATGTTTCCACTGCTGCTTCAGATTGAGAGTGAGGAAGGATACCAGAAAGTCTCAAATGTAATTGAAAACCACCTGGAAGTACTGCAGAACAAAATTGATCAGTACTTTCCCTCCCTTTC